GGGGGGGGGGGGGGGGGGGGTTGGAGCTTTGCATGATCGATAGGAGACTAGGTAGGCAAAAGTAGGGGGAAAGAGCACCCAGTATTCCAAGGGATTGGGGACCTGGAGGAAATGTCTGACTGTGTGAAGAGTACAATAGCTCGGTGACGTGGATGGAAGGGACTCGACAGATGAGAACTCCCGGCTCGATCTCTTCAAAGCCGACCTTCCATCGGTGTCTCAATACAGGTCATTCCATTCTGGTCTCCTCTTCTAAAGTGCTTCATTATCCAGGACTCATGGAAGCATCAGTCTTGATAGTACAGAATAATGACACACATATTAGTTCCATAGTAGTTTTTGTAAGTCTTTCAATGGCATGAGGTTCATCGTAATTGGTTCTAAACGTACATGCCTTCATCTCTCAGGTCGACTGGGGCATGAGCTTTTGACAAGAGCCATCCAGTAACCCCATTTGGGGAAATTGTACGGAAGCACCGATGCGCTATCATGATATTCAGGACTTTGGCTGACACTAACCCAAAATTATCTCTGGCTCGCCCCTTATCTCCATGGTTTGACGCCCTGGCTGCACCGGCGCTAAGGCACACTCCATCTGTGTGATCATCAACATGCAGTAGCGTTCTGCAAATACTGTACAATTCTGAGAGGTATCATTTCAGCGCCGCGTACGAGGTCGTATGGGCTTATCTTAGAAAACGAGAGGAGTTTATTGCCAGGAGAAGCGACTCGCCTTTTGGCTTACAGCTCTTGATGCCTGGTCCATCGGTTGCAGGTGACCACGGTATTGAGCTGTCTACAGAGTTAGTGGGAGTGAGGTCATCGTTTGCGCAAGTTGCAGGGCTACTCTCGTATGGAGCACAATGTGCTTTGTCAAAAGGGCTGCGTTTCACGGTTGTCTACACCTTTGCAGCTCGGGGGAAAGACGGGCAACCTTAGATGTGGCTTGCAGTCTCTTAATTTATCTAGAAATCGAGCTATTAAACCGACTTCAAGGTTTAGAAGACAGTACGGAGTACAGAGTATTGATGATGCTATCGCTACGACTAGGTGAGTAGATAGAATTTCGAGGGGCATTGATCAGTGCCGACCTTGAACAAGTCGGCCGACGCATGACCATCCATGATCGCGCACAGTTACCGAACGCCATAAACTGTGTGGATCGCTGGCGAGATAAGGACATGTCTCATTTTGATTGGATACTACCTAGGAAGGAAGGAGTCTAGGAGCTTTCGTGACCCCTGATTTATTTGTTTTTAAATCTCAAAATCTCAAAATTGCATCAAAACTTCCAGACACACAGTCTAAGTTGATTACGGGATACCGAGATTTCTCTTCTGGACTTTTCAAATTGGGATCTGGACTCCGTCGGTTCTAAGCCAAGGCCGAAAGAGCAGAAAGAGGGGGGAGATGGGAGAGACGGAGTAAGAAAAAAGAAAAGAAAAACAGGGGTTCATTTTATTCATCAGCCCATATACATCTGACCTACTCCGTACATGTAGGTAACTTGGACTGATTTGGACTGATAATCACGCATGAAAGAGCGCTAACGAAATTCATTAAGCGATTTGGATCGGGGCGATATCCGTCCGATTGATCCCTGCATTTTGATCGGGACCAAACCCAATTCACCTGGGCACGCCCCCGAATTACGCCGGACTGTCAAATCAGCATGTATTGGCATATTTTGGGACAACCTCGTTGTGCACCGGGGGCTATTGGGCTTGATTGTGGCAAGAAAACTATTCGTGGTATCTCTTGTTGATCCCAGTATGCAACCGTGTCCTCTAGTGAGGGATGGTTTGGGATGGTCGAGGGATAGTCAAATGATTGGGGGGACTGCGATAGATTGCAGCCCCTCAGAGCACAACTTTCTACTAAGTATACACCATTTAGCTCTCTCTCTCTCTCTCTCTCTCTCTCTCTCTCTCTCTCTCTCNCTCCGTACCCTATATCAAGCACGACTGTCTCGCCCGCACAATTCTCTTATCCTTTGAGTCATAGGATTGGCTAAACAATCATGCATGTAAGCTCGTGGCGTGAATAATAGCATATTCAGCTACGGGGATAGCCCGATTTCCCGCATGGAAATCAATGCTTTTTAGGTGTAATATTCATTTTTTTTGTCTACGGATTTACGCAGCGAAGGTTAACCGGGATGCTTCTCTCCGAGATAAACGACAGAATTGAAAACGGGGACGTCCCTATATGTTGTTTCAATTCCTCGGCTTGCTGTGTGATTTCCTTTGTGCTGATTTTGCCAATTCTTCCATTCACATAGACTGCTTCCCAATAAAGAGGATGTTTGGTACCCTACGATACGAAGCGGCGGATAAAGCTGGAGAGTTTTTAGAGCATGGAGTAGGAACCACTGGGGTCCCACTGAGCCGCTTCCAGCATATGGCCTGCGATAATTGCCGTGTAAAAAAGGTGAACGCGTGCCTAGCTGTCCCCTGTGCTTTAAAATGCATTCTCTGACGTGACAAACAGATCCGGTGCAGTGGGAAGCGCTCGGGGTGTTACAGATGCACCACATTAAACGTGCCGTGTACCTATTCCGGTCCTAGCCCTCGCAAACGACTCTGTAAGAAAGGATCTCCTTGCTACGAATCCAACGAACTCGATATGGACAATGAGTTGTCCAGTGACTCCTCCAGTGCGAGCGCAGAAATGAAGCCAGGTGACCACTCCCAAACATTCTGTCCTCCGTCGCTCAACTCGTCCACGCTGTTCGAGAATACCAGTGGCAGTGGCAGCTTTCATACAACTCAACTAAGTGGTCCTGCAATCCAAAGGGACTACGACCCAATTTTCTTCAACAGTTTCGACTGGCATTTGAGCGAGCAGGACAGTCGTGGGGGGTCGCCACCTTCCATGTCGATGCCCACTGATATCCATATTTCACAAGACATGAACAATTCCCCCTCAACGGTCGGTTTTGGGAATGTGTCATCCCAGCCAAAGGGCAACTTGGTTCACAACAAAAAGGCCAGCCACGGTGTACCTCTTATGCGTTCTTCGGGTGTGGTCGACGGTTCTTGGGTTCCCAATTCCATTATTCACACCTCGACAGTCCCAGCGCCCACTCCCAACGGCAAACCCTGGCCAACTCACACAGTGGAGTCAACCGCCTCCTTCATGACGCCATCTTCGGCCTCAATCCCTCAAGATCCGAAACCAGTAGTAGTCCCCCAAGATAGATCCAAATGCTCTTGCCTTACCACTGCTGTGTTCCTCCTCGATGAACTCGAGGACTCCAGTGACCCTGGTATGCACGAGGAGAGGAAGCAGCTCGACTCCCATCTGAGCTCCTTCCGCGAGATTTTGTCACAATGCGAGAGCATGTTGCAATGTCTCCAGTGCCGTCACCGACCCGAGAACATGACCGTCCTAAATCTTGTTTTAGAGCGCCAGACGAGCCTCTCCGACGGCATTGTTAACGCCTATCTTACCTTGACCTCATCGGCAGCGGCAGCAGCAGCGAGTGACAGCACCGCCCTCACAAGGGAAAAGCATGTCGTCACACAATCTACCTTGGCACCGGCGGAAAAAGCAAGAATCACATCAAAAGCAACAGAACCCCCTACCCCCGTCACCACTGTGGCATCACCAACGCCAGAGCGCCCGGAAATGTTACTGGGAGATTACAGCATCGCCGAATCGGAGTGGACGACTATGGTGCGCGTATTAATCCTGACCCAGCTGCTGGCCTTCGATCGTCTCGTCGCGCAGATGATGCGAATCCCTTCCTTAGCACAGCGAGATTCCCAAATGAAACGGCTGCGTGCTTCAGAGTTGCGGAATCAGCGGCTCAAGCGACAGCTCTGGCCCGACTTATCAGAGTCGAGTCCTCTATCAGATTTGGAGTTCCATTTCATATCATCATCCCGACTAGATTAGATAAAGTTATGAATTTTTCTTCGAGAAAAAGGAGGAAGAAGAAGAATCACTCATCACAACCTGACAAGATGCAGGTTTCTCGGGCCTTCTTACAGTCTTTAGTCAAGGCAAAATATATATCGGTGGCGACACTGTTAACTAATTTTGTTTACTTTGGTTTAAAAACCCCTGTCTATAAGAAAAAGGTGACGGTTAATTGTCGGTGAATACCGCATTGTGAAAGGTAGGGGTCTAATTAATGGTCTTCAAGGCTTATATTTCTGTATCCTCTCTTTTCCTTACAATTTGCATAGATCTGCCGATTACAGAACATAAATTACCAAGAATTGTATGATTTGTAAATCCTATAGTATACCGGGCTTTATTGGGCCGATTTTTATAATATTGTTCCCTTCTGGGTTTAGTTCCTGTACTGCTCTTGGAGTGCTCCGGGGAGTACAAATGAAGTGTTGGATTAGGAATTGCATACTGCGCTAATGCAAGATTTGTGCTGATTGGCTCTCGATGGCCCATCTGTAAGTTGCGGCCCCTCCCGAGGTCAAGTGAGTGAAGTCTGTAACAAAGAAATAAAATCAAGTGAGAAATAACTGATACATTAACTGATTCTACTATTGTTCCGTCCCCGGTTGCCTTCCTTGTTCCTCCTAAAATCGGGCCGACTATTCGTCCATACCTACCTCCTTAAGCATCAGCTTTCCTCTTTTCTAACTAGTCAATTATCAACAACACTAATCTTGTGATATCACTGAATCTCATCTTACCTTCCAACAAATACCATGCCGACAATTACCTACAACCCAGACAGTATCCCCGATTTGTCTGGAAAGGTCATTCTCATTACTGGCGGTGAGTACTACTACACCACTATCTGAAAGCTCCGATCCCTCCATTTAGTCCTTATATATAATGAATCATGAGCTGATGTCTGTCTTCATTATGTCCTCTGCCAGGTACCGGAGGTCTTGGAGCCGAAAGCGCACGGCGACTGGCGCAAAAATCGCCAGCGCACATCTACATTAGTGGTCGGAAGGCCGCTAGCGCGGATGCAGTCATTCAACAAATCCGACAATCCGGCAGCAAGACGCCAGTCACCTTCCTTCCCTGCGACCTAGCCTCCTTGGCCTCAGTGAAGCAAGCCGCAGAGTCGTTTCTGGCCCAGGAGTCCCGCCTGGACATTCTGATGTGCAACGCGGGCATTATGGCCACGCCACCGGGGCTAACAGCGGACGGATACGAGATCCAATTCGGCACCAACCATCTCGGCCACGCGCTGCTGATCCGCAAGCTGCTGTCACTCCTCCAAACGTCAGCAGAAGCAGCGGACGTTCGTATCATCCTACTCACCTCATTGGGATTCAAGATGCACCCGGGTGGAGGAATCGTCTTCGACGCGGTGCGCACCAAGCAGGAGTTTAGCGCCTTTGGCGGATGGATCCGCTACGGCCAGAGCAAGTTGGCAAACCTGCTGTACGCGCGTGAGCTCGCACGTCGGTACCCGACCATTACGAGTATCTCCGTCACGCCAGGAGTCGTGAATACCGGGCTAGTCGAGAACCTAGGCCGCTTCAACCGCGCCTTCGTCTGGGTCACCAACTTGGGTCAACTGATGAAGCCGGAGGAAGGTGCCTATAATCAGCTCTGGGCTTCGACCATCGCCAAGCACACCCTACAGAATGGCCAGTTCTATGAGCCGGTCGGGGTACTCTCTAACAAACTAGACAAGGCATCCCAGGATGCGGCGTTAGCTAAGCGGTTGTGGGATTGGACTGAAGAGGCATTGCAGGCATACCTGTGAAATCAGAAATACATAGAAACAATCTATCTCACTCTCTTCGGTGGTCTTCCATACGGCATGCCGATTTGGTTTCAAGATGAATTCTAAAGTATCAAACATGTTCATACCATGTACTACGCTTTACATATTAGGTGAAAGCAAAAGAGTCTTATCTTATGCGCGGGCGTGCGCTATAGAATAGCTTTCAGGGGCTATCTGTCTAGATACTTCACCGGCGCCGCCGCCGAATACGAAACGGAATAGGCTCAGCTGGAGGCATTGCGCCCACCCCATAGAATCGGCGGTCCGGACGCGGCAGCCAACCCTTGGGTCGGTCAACCACCTCCAGCTCGTAATAGGACTGAAAAATGGCGACACTACCCAGGATCTCCTGTTTTGCGAAATGCCGTCCAGGACACATAAACCCACCACCGCCGTAGGGGATCCATGCGCCTGATAGCCCGTCGAGGGAAAACTGCTCCTTGCCCCCCTCATCTTGTACCAGGAAGCGTTCCGCCCAAAACTGATCCAGGGGGTATCGTCCGTCCTGCATGCGCCGCGGGCCCCAGGCCTCGTCATCATAGGCTGCATGCTGCGTGCTCATCACAATGAACTGTCCGCGCTTCAGGCGCCACGGGCCAAGCTGAGCCTCGGTATGCACGGGGGTTCGATTTAGCAGGAGGGCTATGCGCATCCGCAGAACTTCGGCGTAGACCGATTGAAGACGTGGTGAGTTGACCAGGGTTGTGATATCAAATTCAGTCTGCTGGCTGGTGGTGGTGCTCGAGAGGGATGTAGGGAATGGTTGAACCATGGCACGATCAAATTCCGGCTTTAGTCGCTGATGGAGATCGGGGTCAGCATAGATGTGGAGAAGAACCCAGATGGCACTAAGTATGGCATTGGCATTTGCGCTGCAGATGATGACAGTCCGGGATAAAGATTAGCATGATGGGAATTCCCCAAAGAATTCAGAAAGGAAGAGAGAAAAAGAACTACCTACGCTACAAGTAGGGCGACATCCTCCGCTGCCAAGGCATCTTCATCCATCCAGCCACTGTCCTGCCCGAACTGCTGTCGAACCTTGAGCCAGGTTGAGCCCCAATACTTATCCCAGTCAGGGTCATCTGGCCCGTTTTGGCGGTAATCAGAGTGGGCGCGGGCAAAGCGATGCCAAGTCTTGACAGCCGTGAAGACTCGATCCCGAGCAGCATAAGCCCCGGGGATCATCCAGCGCGGCAGTCCCATCGTGAGTGTCGGAATAGCATCCATATAATGCCAAAAGTCCTGCTCAAAGCCCGGAGTCAGCAAGGTGAGGTAGGGTCCGAACAAGGCGTGCACAGCGGCGTGGAAGATGCGACTCTTCCAGAAGGTGTAGAGATCCGGCAGCTGGACCCAATCGTCGTCGGGACCGATGGCGGCATCGCGGTGTAGCTCCCTGCTGAGAACACGCGTGAACCGCTCTGTCATATGGCGGAGAGCATCGCCCGTGAGGAATCGGTGAGCGGACTTGTGCTGATGGTAGTAGATGCGATGCTCCGGAGCCACATGAGTGTTCGGCAAGGGAGTCGGGGCAATCCCCGAATCATCCTGGCGGTACAACGGCATAGTGCCGGGTGGGGTACCGAACATATTCTCCATGACCAGAGCGATGAAAGGCTTGGGAGACAGATTGCGGGGGGAGCGTAGGAGGTTGTTGATCGCCTCGGAGCCCGCCACGAAATACCCTCGTATGGGACCCAGCACAATCTCCACGGGATATCGGTCGCCATATCGTTGTTGCAGTCCATCCACAAACGCCCCTGGATCTTGAATGAATGGGATCGAGTGGCCTAGGAATGGAATCCAATAAGGATACACCGGGGGGTTGCGGCTGGGAGACTTTGACCACCAGTGCACCCATTGCAGTGAGTTCAGCGTCAGGAAAATACGCCAGCATGATACTAGAACGATGATGCCTCCATACACCCAGGCAGACCAAAGCTGGATCATAATTTAAGTTTGGCCTGCTTTTTTGTGCGTTTGATTCAAGGGGGCTGGACACCTTCAACTGTTTGCTATAGTGATATCTATAGCTTTTCCCTTTCCCTTTCCCGTTCCCTCCAGGGGAGATGCTGAGGCATGTCTCTATCTCGGCTGACTCGTTTAGGCAATCCTCCAGAATTTCAAGGGTATCAGGGTTCTGCTCCCGATGGAGATGGTCGGAAATAGGCAATTCCCCGAAACAAGCCGTACATAGAGGGCAGTCAGTATTCTTACCTGTGAGAAAGCCAAGGTCTCAACTGTCATTGATCCATTTGTTTGTAATTTGCCCCAATTCCCCCCTGTATTCGTTCTCGTGTGATGACAAGGATGAAGAACTCCTCGTCCAACGTCACTAGCGCCTCAGGCTCAGGCTCAGGCTCAGGGGGCTTCGTGCAGCCCCTACCAGCGTCCCTCCTCCAGCCAATATGTCACCCTCGAGTGACAGAGGTGACAAGCGAAGTGAACGACTATTTTCTCACCCATTGGGACTTCCCTTCCGAGAAATTACGCAAGAAGTTCGTTGCTGCCGACTTTCCAGGGGTCACCTGCCTTTACTTCCCGAATGCGTTGGATGACCGCATTAGCTTTGCCTGCCGCCTTCTGACGGTTTTGTTCCTCATTGATGGTTAGTGCCCCCCCCCCTCCCAGTGGAAGAAGATAAGAACCAAAATAAAAATGAGAAATGGTTTCTAACTGAATGCTGATACAGACCTGCTTGAATTCATGTCCCTCGAGCAAGGATCGGCCTATAATGAGAAGCTTATCCCAATTTCCCGTGGCGATGTTCTCCCAGACCGTTCCGTGCCCGTGGAGTATATCACGTACGATTTGTGGGAGAGCATGCGTGGTCATGATCGTTCGATGGCAAATGAGATTCTCGAGCCGGTCTTTGTTTTCATGCGCGCCCAGACTGACCGTACTCGTATCCGACCTATGGGGCTGGGTTCTTACCTGGAATACCGTGAGCGCGATGTGGGGAAAGCGTAAGTTACGAGTTCTTTTCGTGTTTTGCTAGCTTTCTCTCTATCTCTGACACTCAAGTTCTCTTATTCTGCCTTTAGCCTATTGGCCGCCCTGATGCGTTTCTCAATGGCCTTACATGTCAGCCCCGTTGAGTTGACTATACTGGGAGAGATTGATGTCAATTGCTCCAAGCATTTGTCGGTCATCAATGATGTCTACAGCTACGAGAAAGAACTTCGTGCGTCCAAGACCGCTCACGCCGAGGGAGGAGCTCTGTGCACCTCCGTGCGCATTCTAGCCGATGAGATGGCCATTTCCATCGAGGCCGCCAAGCGTGTGCTGGTCTTCATGTGTCGTGAATGGGAGCTTCGCCACCAGGTCTTGGTGGAAGAACTGCGTGCCGATGGGCGTCAGTCAGCCTCGCTGACAGCGTATGTTAAAGGTCTCGAGTTCCAGATGAGTGGTAACGAGGAGTGGAGTAAGACCACTTTACGATATAACAATGTGGTCTAGGAGTTCTAGTCTGTGCTCGTGTTAATCAATCAATCAATCAAAGTTGATTTAACATGTTGCAGTCAATCAATCAATCAATCAAAGTTCAATTAACCTGTTGCAGTCTAACTAGTTGCGTATGACTATGCAGGCGCTTCTTCCAACTGAAGCAAGAACTCGAGTCCCAACGCCGAATCCCAGAGGAGTACAGATGGTGAGCAAAAAGAGCGTGGAATCAGCCCATTCCTGTGACCCGTAAATCCCGTAAATCCAAACCCATACCCAATCCCATACATAAGAAATTATTAAATGATTGCCGTGGAGTGCACCCTCCACCTTCCAACTCCCACATCCCACTTCTCGCTCTCACTTCTCACTCTGTCTCCTCCCTGCCTCAGTTTCAATTGGTGGTGGTGTTCTTGGTGGCCAGTTCATCGGCATGGTTGTCATCCCTGGCTGAGTTTCTCGTTCCACAGCTTCACTTTCGTCATTGGCTAATACCCATCGTCTTCCACACCTAGATCCATTGCCGCAACGCCTACCGGTTCGTCGTCGTCGTCATCCTCGATCCCAACATGTTGAAACTGCTGGAGAAGACCTGTCTGGTGCATGAATTTGACCACGTAGCGGGTGGCCTGCGGGTTCGAAATGATCTTGTCATAATCCATCTCGATGCCGAGATCATACAACTGGTCCCATAATTTCGTGCGCGGGAAGATATACCGCGGGCACTGCATCAGGATGTGTTTTGGTGTCTGCGAGCCCTCGTCGCATGGACACCGGTCGGACTCTGCCGCCTTGATCTTGAACAAGAAGTGACGCAGTCCGATCCGCATCGTGCGCATCTGAATCAGGATTGCACACTGCGGCTTCGCCAGTCCTTCGTACAGTCGGAGCGTCTTCTTGTTCGGCGCTTGCACCAAGCGTTTTGTCGGTGCGGAGGTTGTCTCGCGCTCCCACTGCCGCTCCCATCGCTCTCTGATTCGCTGGTGTACCGCTCTCTTAGCAGCTGCGGCGAGGCGGATAATCGGTTCTCCCGTCCCGGTCGCAACTCCCATCCCCGCACCGAGAAGTGCTGCACCTCGCGCTTCGCAGTCGGCATATTCATTACCGTCCACACCAACATGTGCGGGGATCCACCTAATGGTGACATTCGTTAGTTTTTGAGGGTTTTGCGACCGGATAGCTCGTACGTGGTCGTATATCAGTCCAAGCACGTACTGGCCAGACGGCCGCTGTGGGTTTTGGACTGCCTGGATGGCAGCCTGGCTGTCAGAGAAAATGGTCACTTCTCGAGCCTGTTCTTTCCTGGTTTTTGCAAGAGCCATTTCAATGCCGTGGAGCTCGGCGACGTATACTGTGGACTGGGAATCAGTCCCAAGGTATCGTCTTTGCGAGCTGACTCCTTGTTGGAGACTGATCATTGATGCGCCGATGTGTCCTGCAAGTCCGCTCCCGTCTGTGAAAAGTATTGAATCCCGCTCCAGTTGGTCACAGAGGATATCTTCATATAGGGTATCATGAGTTTTCAGTGCGGCTTCCTGATTCTCAATATAGCATGGGAGTGGTGCCTCCCATGGAGCAAGCACGAATGCTTGTTTTTCCTCCCATTTTTCTCCTATTTGTAGTCGTAAAGGCTTCTTCTGTGAGATTGCCTCGGTCGGAGACCATCCTCCGAGTCTCCTTTGTGTTGGTTTCCTGGTATTTGTCGCTTTTGCGACTGTTGGGCATGCCCGCTGCGGGCCGGTAAGGATCCGGATGGCGGTTTCTTCGACGACTTGCTGTAGTCGTAATTTGATTGGAAGGAGAAACAGTTCTGTGTCGAGCGCTGCCCCTGCTGTTCCGCGGAAGGCTCCGCTGATCAGGATTGCTGCGCGTTTCTGTATTTTTGTGAGTTCGTTGGTGAGCTTGTCGAGGTCGCCTCTTGGCATTGACCTGGCAGCCGGACAGTACCACGCAGACAGTCCCCATAGCATCTGTGGAATGATGACTGCCTGGTATACCTTCCGCATTGCGATCAGTGATGATCCCCAAGTGGAACCTGAGATCCCGCGGAGCGCTTCCAAACTGCCAGCTCCCTTTGCAAGCATCTTCTTCCGGTGTATTGTAAAATTGAGGTGTTTGTCAAGCTATACCCCAAGGTATTTGGCTGTATCGGTTGGTGTAAGAGTTGTTGGTGTGTCGCCCGGTATTGTAACCGGCATACCGTCATGACCCGACGGGTCATCTGGTATCTCCCAGATGTCTGTCACCTGGGCCGGTTGTGTTATATCGAGTTTGATTTTTGGGTTGGCGAAGTGTATTAGTTCGAACTTGTCGGGTGCGAATTTCGCGGCATGTTTCTTGGCCCAAGAGCTTGCCCTTTGCAGGGCTTTCTCCAGCACCTGGACGTTCTCTTCATAGCTTTTTGAGACTGCAAGAATGCATACATCATCCACCCAGCCGTATGCCTCGCTCTCCCCATAGTGTAGCCCCCGTAGTGTACAGGCGCGTACCAGTGGAGCGTTAAAAAGGAGGAATAGGATTGGTGAGATTGGAGAGCCTTGTGGTATGCCGGTTGGTGTAGGAAATGCCTCGCTGAGATGGCCATTTGGCAGCTTGATTCGTGTACTCCGACCTGTGAGAAGGGACTGTACCCAGGCGGCGAGCGCCCCCAGTCCTAGCTGCCGCATATTGAAAAGTAGCCTCTCGTGAGAGACCATATCGTACGCGCCAGCTACATCCAGGAGTAACATACTTGCCTTCTTACCTTCTCCCCACGCCTGGTGTACCCGTCCAAGGATCAGCTGGATCGCATGATCAACAGAGATCCCTTTCCTTCCTCCGAGATGAGTATCCGGGAGCAGTTTGTGTTCCTCCACGAGCCACGCAATCCGGGTTGCGACGATCGATTCGAGGATCTTGCCGAGTGTATTGAGTAATGCGACTGGTCGGTATGACTTTGGGACTCGGTAGTCTCGTGGTCCTGCCTTCCGTAATGTGACTGTAATAGAGGTTTGGAAGTGTCTGGGGTTGTGACCGAGTCGTATGCATACGTCGAAAATGGCAGCAAGTAGCGGAATAAATCTCGCCTCCGATCGTGAGCCTTGCTCAGCCAGTATCCTCCATACCTTGTTCGGCAGGGTATCGTATCCTGGTGCCTTGTTTGGCGGCGCTCTCTTGATCGCCGCTTTTACCTCGGTGGTGGTGACTGGGGGGAGTTGGAACTGCTCTCTCTGGCTGGTGCCTCGTTGTATGTCGGAGAGGTCGGCAGCTGGTGGCTGCGGAAAGAACACTTCACGGAGGAGGTTGGCTTTCTCTGTGTCGCTTTCTGCAGTCCCCCCTCCGGCGGCCTTCAGTACTGGCATCGTACTGCCTTGCTGCTGACCTCTATTCCTGGCCCATTTCGCTACTCTCCACAGTCCTTGTGGGCCTTGGTCAACTGCCTCCTCGATGAAACTCCTAAAGCCTCGTCGGAGAGCAGCCTTGATCACCCTTCCCTTCTGATTCCTTGCCAGTTTGTATACCTGCCAGTCCTCCTCACTGTGTGTTGCAAGATACTGACGATACATGCGGCGGGAGTGTTTGACTGACTCGCCGCAATGCTTCGTCCAGGAAGGGTTCGCCTGCGGGCTGGGATGTGCCCACGGAGTTGATTCCTGTACGCCACGTTGTACGATCTCGACCAGATGGTTTACTGCGGCGTCAATTTGAGGGGGGGTTGTCAGTTGTGGCGGTGTTGGCAGGTTGTCTGCTACAAAGAGGTCGAATTTCTCGGCATCCATGGCCTTCCAGAGCCGTCTCTTCGTCTCCACGGCTGGTGCTATACCTACGTCAAGCAGCGCGCGGATCGGGAGGTGGTCGGAGTCTGCGTGGCAGTCTAAGGCCAGCTCGCATACTACCAGTCTCTCCGTGAGAGCCGGCGTGCCGAATACTAGGTCGATTGTCGTCTGTTCCCCGTTTTGATCTCTCGTGATCGTTCCAGGCTCCAGCCAGAGATCCAGGTCAGCCTCGTCGCACAGCTCGATTAGCTTGTCGGAGCCTGAGTCCTGTGTGGCCTGGATCCCACCCCACGCAGGGTGGTGTAGGTTGAAATCACCAACGATCACAATATGTTTCCGGGTATCGTGCAGCAGGCTGCCGAGAAGGTCTACCGTACCGGTAGTACCGCATTCGTTATATATATTGAAGAAACAGATCTCTCCTGCTCCCGTTTGGAACCTCACTTCCTGGCAGAACTCACTATGCGCGTGGTGGGTCCAGTTGGTACCGATTCTCTTGGAGATATATATACACACTCTCGCTCTCGCCCCAGTCTCTGTACTGGACGGGAAGAGCAGTTCGTGCGTCTGTTTCAATGGGTGGTATGTGGTATCGTTGTATGGGTTTTCCCACGGTTCTTGTACCGCAATAACGTCCGCCTGGACGACCCCTGGTTTTGCCAGGAAGTCCGCCATGACGACGTCTCTTGACCGGTGCGTGTTGTATTGGATGATGGTGAGTGGTGTATTATTCATTGGATCTTGGATGTTGTTTCGGTGTGTTTCTTGGTGAATTGGCGGGTTCTTCTCTCTTCCTGGAGATCTGTCCTATTGGTGAACCTGACTGACGAGACTGACTTGGTAAAGCTGACTTGGTCGTCAAGTGTGCGCTTGTTCTTGCCCCGCGGGCCTGGCGTACGCACTGTGTTGTATCTTGGTATACTGGTTTGGAAGATGGTGTCCTGCTTGCCAGCCCTCTGCTTGCCGGTTGGCGCGCGCTTGTTTCCGCTGATCTGTGAGAGTACAGATGGTTGGTACTCGCTTGCTGATGCCGCCGGCGCCGATGACGATGGTGGGTCTGGTAGGATCACATCCTGATCGGTGACGATGTATGTGTCGTCCCTTGCCCGTTTCGGCGTTGTGCCTGAGCTTGCCTCGCTTGCCTCAAGCACTGACCTGAGCAGTCCTTTGCTCCTGGTTGTGGCCGATGATGTCGTTGACGCCCGGCTGGGTGCCCTGCGTCTTGGTGGCTCAGAGCGTGTTCCTGCCGGCAGCGGCGCATGTATCGACTGGCTGAGCCCCCTTGGCCTCTGTGTCGACTGGCGGATTGATTCACCAATCGCGCCGGCCTCGGCCTCCCCCACTGTGAAACCGGCCATCTCTGTATCCTCTGGTTCCGGCTCGCTTGCTAGTTGGCCTGAGCTTGCCGGTTGGCCTGAGCTTGGTTCGTTTGATGGCTGTGAGGCCGTTTCAGCTCTGTTTCCGGAGCCTCCTTCCGTGGAGGCCCCCTTTGCAGAGCTTTCCTTCGTGGAGCTCTTCTCTGTAGAGCTCTTCTTTGTAGAGCTCTCTCTGGTGGAAGTCCTGGAGCCGCTACCTCCAGAGCTTCCGGATCCTACTGATGTGGCAGCCGGCGTCACCTGCCTGGTCTCCCCGATTGAGAGGTATGCCGGCACCCGGTGGTACCGTTCTCTCGCCTGGGCGAGAGCCTGTACCCTCTCAATCTCGTTGATGAAGTCGGGGCACCGCTTCGACCATCCGTTGTGTGCGCCCCCGCAGTTGGCGCACTTACGTTCACTGAGTGTTGCGTCCCTTTTGCGCTGGCAGTCTCGAGAGTGATGCTTTTCAGCGCAAAAGACACACCTTGTTTCGTTGGAACAGGTGTTTCCTATGTGTCCAAATTTCTGGCAGTTGTGGCATTGGCGAATGCGCGCAGCCCGGTCGTACAGGACCGTGGTAAGCATCTCCGAGTCCCAGAGTGTTCCATTATTAATTGATTTGTTCGCAGTATGCGGTGATGAGAATTCCACGATCAGCGAACCAGATTTCTTCCCCTCCGAGAGGACCCGCCACGAGATCTGCGTGATCTCTGCCTCGTCTCCCCAGTGGAATAGGTTCTCGGTAGGCAGCTGCTTACAGATTGCCTGTTTCCGGCCCGGCTCAGTGAGTCCTGCCGCCGAATTAATCCTAAGCGAACGTACATTCACGTCGTGAATGACAACCCCCCAGCTCGGCAGCCGCACCTCCGATCCCTTCCATAAATGTTTCACCCAAGTAAGCCGATGGCACCGCATAATCTCCGCCTCCTTCGCAGTACGCAGGCTGAGCGAGAGATCACCGGATTTCAGTTGTCTGGCCGCGACAAACTTGGCCGATGCGACTGTGAGCCCGTCCGTGGCCTTTGCCGCCTTCACGCGCGCTTTCTCAGCAACCTTCGTGATTTCGGCTGGGGTTCGGGTACGGAACAATTTAATGCCATCGGAATCACCCAATTTGACAATAAGCTGGCGGTCCTGGATGAGATCGGAGGGGGTTGCGGGGCTGGTCGATGCCGATCCATGGCTCGACAGGAAGTGAGTCGGCGGCGGCGCGCTTTTGATCGCATCGACGTACGAGCGGATCCTGTTCGATCCACTGGGATTCATATTGGCGTTGGATGAGGCAATTCTTACCGCATGAATGTCTTGTTTGATCTGGCTGGTTTCCTGGCGCAGCTGTTCAAATTGTTGTTTCCAGTCCTGGCCGATCGGGTTCTTGATGAGGTCGGCAGTGAGCTCCTGAATCGATTTCAGGTAGTCCACTACCTGCCTCGGGACTTTAATAGAGTTGTTACCACTAATGTGATTCAGCAGCTGGTGTGCGTCGTAATTTGCATCCAATATGCGCTCATTGGTGTTGGTTAGACTTCGGCACAACCCACTCTAACCCGGACCCAACCCAACCCAACCCAACCCAAAATGGGTTTTGGGTCCATTGCTTCGACCCAACGATGGGTTTTGGGTTATAGCTCATAACCCAAAACCCATTGGGTAACCCATTGGGGCCCCAATATAGTGTAAACCAGACAAACAGACTTCTAGCGTGTAACTGCATAATTAATGCATTTTTTGCTTGTAATATTGAGTATTTTACTTACAGCGCTCTTCTAGAAAAAATGGAGAATAAATCAAATAATTGAACCAGGATGTATTTCTCTAATATTGCTCAAAATCCTTATCTGCCCTGCTCTTACGCTTCCTCCCTGAGGCCCGTCTCTGAGTTGCAGTCTCTGGTAACTCTGGCTCTGTCACCTCTATATCTATATCTATTAAATGAGGAGATGTCTCTCGCAGTCTATTATCTACTCCTTCTTCCTCTTCATTATCACTAATCAGGTCAAGCTCAGCATCCTCTGTATATTCATCGTTCTGCTCCTTCGCTGACTCAATCTCAGCTAGTGTAAAGAACTGCTCAAGCTGCTTTGCCTCAGAATCCTTAATATTGAATCTTGTTGCACATAGAAACAACATAAGCTCCTCGATTGTTTCGGACTTCAGACGACCACGGCGGTAGTGACAAACATCCCGAGCAGTATTGAAGAGCCGTTCGACACCAGCACCAGTTGCTGGAATAGAGAGAATATCGCGAGCAAGTAACGCAATCGCAGGGAAACGAGATTGGTTCTCCCGCCAGAATTGAAGAGGTTCAATATCAATTAGATCTAGTAGTATAAATATATTAGTATTATCCTGTATAGGGAAGAAATAGATCATAAACATACCACTATCGAGATATTGAGTCATCTCATCACCAGCTGGTTTTGCGGATATCTTGTTACTCTTTAGCATCATGTTCAGCCTAGAACTAGATGATGCTATTGTTGGAGTATTAGTCGATCCTTGATTCATTGTAAGGCGCTCTTGATACGGAATCAATAATTCCTGGAATGATTTCCGGTAGGTATCACGCCAGTGAGGCTCCCAATTATCAGATAGAAAGAACTGAAATCTGCTGTCAGGTGCCAGCATTGTCCCAACTGCATAGATATGTCCTTTAAGATTGTCGGTTTGAGAGTAGTACTCATCAAGTTTCAAGCGACCAGCTATGAGTGCTTTGAGCATGTCTGATTTCCATGGAACACGCTTGCGTTTGAGCAGCGCCTCTGCTTCAAAAAAGTGATCAAAGAGGGCATTGTAAATCTTAAAGACAAGATGTGTGGTGACCTCCTTTGTCTTCGAGAGCTCTGTTGTGTAGTCAAAGAATGGCCGAGTGATTTGTAGAAGATAGTCAATTTGACGCCATTCTTGAGTATCAAGCAACATCTCCTCACAGTCATACTCCTCACAGAAGGGCTGGAAGAAACTACGTAGTCTCTTTGCACGACGAAGCATCAAGAAGGTAGAATTCCACCGAGTCCTCACGTCCTGGATTGGAACAAGCTGGGATCCCTTTTCTTGAAGTCGGAGAAAGGCCGCCTGGCGTTGCGGACTTGCATGGATATACACAGCAAGATAACGGACCTTGTTTAAGGTGTATGAGATCCTCCGTGTCTGGTGCTGAGCATTTGCCTTTGCTGCAGATGACTTCTGGTCAGTCCACTTTGTTTCTGCATTCTCATTTAGAGGGATGGCCTTTAAACGATCAAGGAGCTGGTTCAAACAAAGCTGGATAACATGGGCAAGACAGGGTATTCGGATTACTGTCACATCGCTAGAGAGCGCCTGCTGAATAGCCTCAACCATTGTCTTGTTGTTGGTTGCATTATCAGTTGTGACTCCAAATACCCGATCCTGGATCTTGTGCTCAACTAGAGTTTCAAGGAGTACACCACTTAGATTTAAACCGGTATGGGAGCCATAAAGTGGTTTAAATCCAAGTAGAACTTCTTGGTATACCCAGTTACTATCAACAAAATAGCCAGTGATAGCCATGAACGCCTGGTTATATGGAGAAGTCCAGCAATCTAATGCGATCGAGATTTTTGCGTCGTTGGGTAGTGTTTGGAGGATAGATTTCTGTCGTTCTATGATCACATCACGTAAACGACGACGTATTGTGGTAGCAGAGGGTATCGGAGGGAGAGATGGTGCAGAGCGGGCTAATCGGAATAGCTTGTGAAATGTTGGATGTTCGATGAGGTGGAATGGAAGTCGATTGAGGGTGAGAAATTGGAGAAGATGCTCTTCCCATGCCGATTGTGAAAAAGGAGCCTCTGGTAAGCCGTGATCCTATGTATCCAGGAGTGTTAGGGAAATCAGATAGCTAAATAAAGAGGTAAGGAGATACTACTTTTTGAAGGAACTGGGTAATTTCTCCTTTCCCTCCCTGTTGAGCTTTGCGACAGCCTGCTGTCTTTAAATGCTTTAACATTGTTGATGTACCATGATAGCCCTTTCCGCTAGGTGATGGAGAATGAGGATGCTCTAGGATCTTTGAGCAGCGCTTACACATCACCTTTGGCGCACCATCTTTGGTATAGGCAACTTGGTCGAAGTTGCTCCATATATTTGAATTGCGATTTGAATCCCAGGAAATCTTGCTTTTCTGCCCATAGTCGGTTTGTAGCCACCACTCAACCCATTCTTCATATGCCATATTGTCATAAAGCACATATGCCTTTCTCCGATCGGGGCCAACGCGAGTAAGAGAGTGTGGAATTGGTAGAAGGTTGGAGGGCCGAAGGAAGTCAGTATCAATAGCATCAAAAGGCTCAATTGTGAGCTGGCTACCAGATGGGGTTGGAACTCGAGAAGAGGGTATGAGATAGCTAAGGTTATCTGTATCCGCATCGTAAAGAGTAGGTAAAAAGTCAGAATGCTGGCTTTGGGACATTGCGACCGAAAAGGGGAATACTATAGAGGTAAGGGGGAAAGGCAGAGAGAGTATATACTTACAAGAGAAGGGTATATGAACAGTAAACACCTTAGTCCTATAGTAAAGTAGATAGATCAAAAGGTATAAGCTATAATGTTGTTTGATTGGCTATATAAGCTCTATTTAAATGGGTCTAACCTAAGAGAACCCAACAGGACCCAACAGGACCCATCAAAACCCAAGAGAACCCATTCATAACCCATCAAAACCCAAGAGAACCCATTCATAACCCATCGAAACCCAAGAGAACCCATTCATAACCCATTAAAACCCAAGAGGACCCATTCATAACCCACTCCCCCAGAAGATCCCTCAAAAATGTTTCATTTACCCTCCCAGAAGAACTTTTCTAACCGCGGTCAGAGATAATAATATATACACCTACACCCCCCTAGAAGGGCTTTTCTGACCGCGGTCAGAGATAATAATATATATATCTACCCCCCCAGAAGGGCTTTTCTGACCGCGGTCAGAAATAATGACATAAACACCTACCTCCCAGAAGTGATTTTCTGACCGCGGTCAGAAATAATAACATATACACCTACCTCCCAGAAGTGATTTTCTGACCGCGGTCAGAAATAATAACATATACACCTACCTCCCAGAAGTGATTTTCCGACCGCGGTCAGAAAACATAATTCGGAGCACATATAATAAGTTAAAAATAAGAGAAGAGAAATATAGCTTTAATATAATATCAATTGTATATAAAATCAAATAAGAATAAGATATTTCTATTTACATTTATAGTTATCCTGTAATATATACATACTCCCCTCTACCACAAATATATATTTTCAACAGTCCACAGTCAATAAAGGCTTAAATTAATAGAACACCACTATACTATGATTAATGTGAATTTTTATCAGTAATCAATATAATACAAAGCCTATTAGCTTCAAATTCAGGGTAATTACATAAATTTTCCAACTTAATATTGTGATAATGTAGCAATATTTGATGAACAAACCAGAACAGCTGTAAAAAACAGTAATTTATTTGAATGACTTAGCATTGTTATGAACGCCAAGACCTATCTTTTATGCAAAAATGGGTTCAAATGGGTTATTATTGGGTTATTGGGTTTAACCCATTGGGTTTTGGGTTGGGTTGGGTTATAGAGGGCGGAACCCAAAACCCAATGGGTTGGGTTTTGGGTCGGAGACTCCGACCCAAAATGGGTTCTGCCGAAGTCTAGTGTTGGTTGCAGATTTTTCGCGGCCCCCTGAAAGGGGCGGCCATACGCTTCCTGGCGCCACCATACTTGTTACCAGTATAAAATTGGTATCAAGAGATGGAGCCAGAAGTTACAATTAACTTGCAATTAAAATGAGAGCCGTAGCCCAAGGCGTTGTGGTACAATTTCAAAAACTAGGTTCGCGCAAAGATATGTGTTCTTGGTGCCGCTTTGCTATCAATCAATCAATCAATCAATCAAAGTTCAATTAACCTGTTGCAGTCTAACTAGTTGCGTATGACTATGCAGGCGCTTCTTCCAACTGAAGCAAGAACTCGAGTCCTAACGCCGAATCCCAGAGTACAAATGGTGAGCAAAAGAGCGTGGAATCAGCCCATTCCTGTGACCCGTAGATCCTGTAAATCCAAACCCATACCAAATCCCATACATAAGAAATTATTTAATGATTGCCTTGGAGTGCACCTTCCTCCTTCCAACTCCCACATCCCACTTCTCGCTCTCACTTCTCGCTCTCACTTCTTACTCTCACTTCTCACTCTGTCTCCTCCCTGCCTCAGTTTCGATTGGTGGTGGTGTTCTTGGTGGCCAGTTCATCGGCATGGTTGTCATCCCTGGCTGAGTTTCTCGTTCCACAGCTTCATTCTCGTCATTGGCTAATACCCATCGTCTTCCACACCTAGCTCCATTGCCGCAAGGCCTACCGGTTCGTTGTCGTCCTCGATCTCAACATGTTGAAACTGCTGGAGAAGGCCTGTTTGGTGCATGAATTTGACCACGTAGCGGGTGGCCTGCGGGTTTGAAATGATCTTGTCGTAATCCATCTCGATGCCGAGATCATACAACCGGTCCCATAATTTCGTGCGCGGGATGATGTACCGCGGGCACTGCCTCAGGATGTGTTTTGGCGTCTGCGAGCCCTCGTCGCATGGACACCGGTCGGACTCTGCCGCCTTGATCTTGAACAAGAAGTGTCTCAGTCCGATCCGCATTGTGCGCATCTGAATCAGGATTGCACACTGCGGCTTCGTCAGTCCCTCGTACAGTCGGAGTGTCTTCTTGTTCGGCGCTTGCACCAAGCGTTTTGTCGGCCCGGAAGTCTTCTCGCGCTCCCACTGCCGCTCCCATCGCTCTCTGATTCGCTGATGTACCGCTCTCTTAGCAGCTGCGGCGAGGCGGATAATCGGTTCTCCCGTCCCGCTCCCGGTCGCAACTCCCATCCCCGCACCAAGAAGCGCAGCACTTTTTGCTTCGCTATCAGCATACTCGTTACCGTTCACACCAACGTGTGCAGGGATCCACCTGACGGTGACAGTTGTTGGATTTTGAGGGTTTTGCGACCGGATAGCTCGTACGTGGTCGTATATCAGTCCAAGCACGTACTGGCCAGACGGCCGCTGTGGGTTTTGGACTGCCTGGATGGCAGCCTGGGTGCCGCTTTGCTTTGTACTTGGATGAGGCAATGTAACCCCACATATCAACGCACATGGAGATCAGCATACGCTGCCGACGAAGACGACGAGGCATGGCGTCGCGACCCGAACCTGTTTGTGTACGACCTGCCGGAGTGATGCAGCGGACAGTTCTGGCAGTACTGGTGACGCAGGTACCCGGTGACTCGGAGAACCAGGCGAAGAGAGGGGAGAT